GTAGACACTAGAGAAATCTTCACAGCAGAATTGTTGGAAATATTTCATTATATGTAGCATTTCCTTGTAATATATTGATCCCCTCGTAACATTATAACTGAGTGATTACTGTGGTCAAAGAAAACATTGCCTTAGTTGTTTGTTTCCCCATCGTGCAGCCAACATTGACTACTGTCGGAAGTGAGGGGGCTCAGCCCCCCTAGCTCATCTTGGTGGGGGGCTAGTGCCCCCCTTGCCCCCCCCCCTGCTGATACGCCTATGCAGTGGTGTACTGAATGCTGAACCAGCAAGTTTTGAATTGTTGAACCTCTGTCTTTTCAGCATCCTTCGAGGTGAATAACATGCATGGTGACTATGGTACGCTCTAATCGACACGACTATTATTTGACATGACTATTACTAAATGGCATTTGAGAATGGTCCGGTTTGAATGTTGTGTTATTGGGAATTGAGTTGCGGAGTCTTTGCTCACTTCTTATAGGTTCAGAGTCTTAAGAATTGATGATAAAACAACTTTATTTAATATCTGGCAAATCGAAGGCACGGGACACCATTGGATATTGCTCTTGCATTTAATGACGGTAGTATCACACCAGCCCAAATTCCGAAATAGTTAGGAATGAAGCTTTTTAAGTGGAGAGGATGATCCCCTTCTCTCTGGGTTGTTGCATGGGAGTCGGAGTCGCTCCCCAGTGAGCGTCTTGGTGCACCCTCTTTGAGCACCATCTGCCGCATCAAACGAAAACAGTCCCGGCGGCGAACACAATCAGAACACAGCACCGGCCACAGTGTTATCATCTAGCTTATTCTCACACCATGTTTTTAGTACTCTCCGTGGTGTTCTGTGTTTGAACCACCTGTGTGAGCCGGCGGGTCTGTGCCGAACCATCGCGTTTCCATTAAGAGCTCCCAGGCGCTGTACTCTGAAGTACCAGCAAATTTTGTTGCTGGCATGATTTTGCGCAAAAGGTCACATGTTTGGTCGACAATGCTGGCTTCAAAACGGCACTCTAGTGGCTAGAAAAATTTTCCTAGGGTCGTGAATGCGCGCTTTCCCCAGAGGCTGCGAAGAAACTGGATTCTGTGCACTGCGTGGCGATGATGTACATTGCTGGCACATAGTTAGTGTATATGCTACCTGTATATGCTACCTAAAGGTAGCATATACAGGTAGTAACTCTACTGGTACATTGGCGAGTGGTGAGCAGTAACGGCACTTGACAGCGGGGATTATGTGGTCTCAGAAATGCTATCATGGTCTCAAAAGTGCTACCCAATAAATTTACTTTAGCAGGTGAATTGAATGTTCAAGGTTATCTCAGAGACCGATCAACGATGTAGACAGTAAAAATTCTATTTTTGCGGACCATATGAAAAGTATTCTACAGAACCGCATATGCAGCTGGGCGCTGGCAGACCGAAGTATTTTTCACTGTGCATGTAATTTTAGCTGTCTTGACATGGCATTTCCCTCACAATGCTGTTTTAAATGCACAGTATTTCTTTCAAGCACTCAAATTGTGAACAAATGCCCTTTTAGTGTTTCAATCTATTAGTCATCTAACCACCTACAAATGCCCGAGTGTTGTAGTTGTCTTCTGCTTAACCTGATATAAACCACTTACCAAATGAGTACATGAAAGTATGACTAGCTCGAGTAGCAGGTCACAAAATCTATAATGTGATATTCTTGCTGTGCGTCGTAAAATCCTTTCCCTCAGTGACGTGTGGCCCATACTCACATACCACGGGCATACCTTGGAATGCTGGATATGGGCGCCGTACGAACGTTTGAAGAATAGCATTAGATGCCTGTTTCTTGGAAAATTTTAATGGATGCAAAGAATGAAAATTGCGTACACATCCGGAGTAACCTAAAGCACCGCCGATGGTTAAGATTTTGTGGAAAAATATTTTATTAGTGATGTAAGGGCAATGTAGTTGCGGTGTCGGCTAACCGCCTTTTATAACAATGCAATAAGTATTAGACATACACTACTATGACTCAATACTTAAGGGTTGCATGCATTGCAAGCACGGTAGCATGCAGGTGATTCGATAAAACTTGCGTATGTGCTTTAGCGTGGGTAGCAGTGAGATAACAATGCAATAAGTATTAGACATACACTACTATGACTCAATACTTAAGGGTTGCATGCATTGCAAGCACGGTAGCATGCAGGTGATTCGATAAAACTTGCGTATGTGCTTTAGCGTGGGTAGCAGTGAGATAAGATTGTGCACTATAATTTAAGTGCCAGTGAACTTCACGTCCTTTGTGGGCCGTCGATTAGATAAACTACTCAATTAACTCAATGGTATACATATGCATCTCGTAATGCTATGCTCAAACCACAAAATCTGGTGCCGCATGAACTCAATTTCTAGACATAGACGCATGACAGACATTCTGGCGGCACGCGTGCAGTTATTAGTGAAAATTGCTTTATTACATGCTGCGGAACTCTTCAAATGAGCTGTCAGCAGCATTCCTAAAATGGACGACGACGTCCGCCGATAAAAACGTGCCGCCACAGTTTCACGCTACCAATTGGACTATCTATAGAGGTCACAAGTCTCTGCAGAGAGCGTGTTTCGTCGTTAAGTGGACTTGCACAAGAAAGTTGCGTCAGCACCAAACATAGCATTGTGGATTTTAGGACGCACACGCGAAATAAAATAGGTACGTGATTGTGACTTTGCATGGCCCCGAGAACAAGGTGCACATGTACATTCAAGCCTGCTTATAACCAACCTGAGCGTGACGGGGCATCCGTTTGCTGTATCCCGAAATTCGTAGTAAATGAAGCACAGCTCTTAAAAAAGTTGCTAGTGAGAACACAAACTTTTTTTGCCCCAAAAAGTCCGTGATGCACGTGTTTCGAAGAGAAAAATCAATAAGGGCGGTCTCGAGTTCACTTAAAACGGCAGGGTGCTCATTCGCTGAGGCTCGTGGCATGAGCTGCATGAGGCACAGGCTCCAAAGTTTCGTCGTTCTCGCAATCTGATTCTTCCAAATCACTCTCCGCACGTATTTCATTCACAATGCCCTAATTTGTGCACAGTTCCACTGTGTCGGCTTCATCCTCGGCCACAATTAAACCATCGCATCAGATGTCCCACCCGCTCTCCCAGGTCGGAGTCGACGACGCGCTGCCACAAATCGCCACCGCAGTGGTTCTGTTCGGAAGCTTCAGGCTCGACATCGGGCCTGACGTCAACGAAGTTGGTCACGCAGAAACAGTTTCGCGCACATTTAGTCGTCACCGCCGCCCACGAAATATTCATCTCCCCAGCTGAATACCGGGACGCCCGAAGCGGCAAGTTGGCTGCCAGGTGGTCAACAGCTATGAGCGAGCCCTCCGCAACGCAGCACTTAACGCGCGGATTACGCTCAAGCCAAGCGGTCACACTTTCGATGTTTTGTGGAGCGGCAGGAAAAAGCGTGCTAGTCCTTTCGTCGACTATCATGACCACACACGCACACCAAGAGCGAGCAAGACACGCACACGCGACACACATGCCAGAACTCGTGGAACAGCTCTGGGCTTGTTTACAGTCAGAAAACGAAACTGATTCCAGCCAGCGTAGTGGGCGTCGCGGAGCGGTGGAGACGGACAAAGGGGTTGGGATCAAGAGAGGAGAGCAGACTTGGGAGAGAAGGGCAAGGAGTTGCGATAAAAAGAGGGGAGGATGTGGTGGTAGGGCGACCTTAAAAACCAAAACACACGGGAAAGAGGCAGGTTGGGTAGCTTGCTTGAAAGGTCCGCGAAACTTGCATGTAGAAAAACTCGGAAAGAGTGCCTGCGCCCGCAGAAGTCAAAGCATGGTCGTCTGGATCAATGCGCACGGCGGTGTTCGAAGAATCGGCGGCCATGGTCAAGAAATCGTTTTGTTGCACCGGCGGGTTTGCCTGGCCTCACGAACTTCGATATTTCGCAATTCGTTCCGTGCAAACTAACAGCCGTTTTCACGCTTCCGCACGCGTGCAGAAGGCATGCTGAGCCGAGTGCGAAGTGAGCAAGAACAAGTCCTAAACACGAAACGAATCGCAAATTATCAGAGTCGGTGGGGTAGCGTACGCACGTGCACTAGACGCAGACTATCGGATATAGTCGGTGATCGATGATGTTGGCAAATGGTCTGGTCACTCCATGCCAGCAACGCCAACGACATACCAGCGATCAAAAAACAGGGTAGGTGGCCGACCGGTCTTCGAAAGATCGGTGGCAGTGTGAAAACATTGGCCTCGTCTGGCGATGTGGGGGGCTCAGAGAAGCGGGGGGACAAAGGACGCAGGGGTGCGTAACAAAAAGCAGTGGAGGCATGCAGGAAGGAAACAACTTTCCTTCCTCCATGAGTTGCAGCTAGAAGGTCGCGGAGGCAGGGTCGGCGTTTAAAGATAAGAATGTATGGGCACCTCACCGATGCCTGATCGGTGGCCGAAATCGGTTTCTCGGGAAGTCGGCAGACCGCTGACTTTGTTCGCTGTAACCAATCAGTGGCGCTCGGAGACGTTCGTTGTAAGTGCGATATTGTGCTATTGAACCAATGTATATTTTCACCATCACGCGGATATTGTTTGTTTTAAGCGAAAGTTCGTTTTAAGTAGGGCCGTTATATGTGGGCTTGACTGTATATGCGCGCCGGCGTGGCTATTGCCGGTGATAGACACTCCCAAATCCGACTTTGGCGCAGTTTGGCGCAATTTCCGTTGATGATATCAGGGTCGCACAGTAATTCTTATTTGGTGCAGTTGGCGCAGGAGTGGGATCACTGCATACCCTTCTCTTGGCATCATTGTCTATTCGTTCTCGTTAATGTTATGCCTAACAAATAAAACTAGCCCTTAAATTTGCACTTCTCTTTTCCAAATAAGTATCAAACGCCAGCTAGCCCAAACCAAAGTAAGTATTACTGAACAAACAGAATACTAGGACTGGTATTGTTCTACACTTCCAATAGCTGTATATGCTTAATATAGTTGTTGCCTGTTTCAGATGACATTTTTCTTGCCTTGCCGACCAGTATCGCTGCAGTAGAGAAGAAAGGTAACCAGCCAGCGACAAGAAAAAGTTTGCCTCAAACAAGAGACTTCAAGGACCCATTGCTTGGAGATATCAGTGATTAATAGGATTTGTTGCATTCGGTACTGAATTTAGGTGATTGTTGTATTTGGTGCACCTTGTTTTTTTTTCTGTCTGCGAAACTGATTTGTTCATCACAAGTAGACTATGTGGTACAAGGACAAGTAGGCACTGAAATTGTGTGACTTTCTGTTCATTGTGCACAGAGCAATTAAAACAGTTTATATGAATACACTTCGATGCTCCAAGTTCACAAGCACTTAATATCCGAAGCGTCATATCGGAACTTTGGCAGATTAGTGCGTAGTTACCTAATTCGTTTCACATCTCTGTTCAAGTCCCTTAGTGGAAGCTTCAACACAAGACCTCATATATAAATAACTACTTGAATCTATGCAAAAAAAATATTTTTTTGTATTTACCCGACCAATTTACTGACTTGTTGAATTCAAATTCGAGAAATTTTATGTACTCTTTGTACAGAGCACATTTCTTGGTACATATCCTGAAATTTTAAAAATAAATTGGTAAGAACCTCAAAAAGAAAAGGCTGAAATGACTAATTTACAACTGTGTCACTTGTCAAGTGGATGCATACTGTTAACAGTGCCCACTCAGTTTCCCCAAATTTTTTGGCTATTCCGAATTGAAGTGGTAGAATAGTGATTTCTTGGTGCTGGTATTACAATTTTGTTATTTAAGGATTTAAAGGCAGTTTTTAATTTATAGATGTCAATTTTAAACGATTCCATGCAGTGAATTCTTTACATAACTGCAGTATCTGGCAACATATGTGATCAATGACCACTAGTTCTAAACTTAGTGCTCCAGCATGCTTTGTTATAATTTAAGGTACCTCAGTCAATATTATGTTCCGAACATCTCCTACAGTCAAACACCGCGGCCGCTACAACAAAGTTAATAGGAATCGCGAGAATTTTTAGTTTTCGTGAGAATTTTGTCATCGCAGAAAAAGTGTTAAATAAAGAGAAAATGATAATTAAGGGAGCAGTTCATTTCCAAAGCTTTAAAAAAATCACTTCTTTTTTACTGCTTTCGCACGAGCAATGGCAGAATACTCTTCTCACAATCTGCAAGGAACTGCATGGCGACATCGTCGTCTTTGGCGTCAAGGAAATGACACCAAATGTCCCTGACCTGCGACGCGGTCATTATGTAAGGCCGGTAGAACACCATACAGCGCGGTTTCGTTGTCACCCGATGAATCGGCAGTGGCCACTAAGGATCTCGATCACTCCTCGATCACTCAGCTCCTCGATCACGTCTGCGTCAGCATTAACGTAATCGCTCAGGGCGTCGCTGTCCATGCTGCAGCAGCTTCCGCGCCTTGCCCTGATCCAATGTCGTCGACACTTGAGCAGGCCAAATTCATCTCTTCTGTCCGAAACTCTGCGTGCGCAAAAAGACTGTTCTTAACGTCACGCGGCAACCAACAATTGTCAGGCATGAACGAGTCGACGTGTCGTGGCCATAGGGATGGCAAAATCGTTTATTTACTAAATGTGCACGGTTAATCGGCTAATAACAATTGACTTTTATGTTTAAATTAACCATAATAATCAATTAAAGCTTGTCGATTGGTCTATAACAACAACCGCCACGGCTCATTTACAGCGAAGGCGGCGCCTCAAAGCGGGCAAGCGAGCTTTTCGAAACAGCAAGGCGGTCAGTGCGGGCACCTGTTCAGACCGCCGGCCTCGGGCATCTCGCGATGTCGCGCACGTGTCGCTGTAATGTGTAAGTACAGTGTACTAGAAGAGTACACTGTAGTGTCAGTGAGTCTCCCAACTAGTAAGCCAAAGCAGCGCATGGTGGCGCTGCGACTGTCACGGACTGTCACGGTGGATAGACGTGTTTTTTGAGCGCTCCCATTTGACTGCGCGAATAAGTGGCTTTGCATGTTTTGAGCTTGTCTTTATATTTATAAAGCAGCAGTTAAAATCTTTGTAGCGCTTATTTTATTGTACGGCTTTTTCGGGGGTCAGTCACCGGGATGTATTAGTTTGTGTGTGTGTTTGATTTTTTTTATTTGTTTTTTTTTTCTTTTGCCACTCCGTGGGGGAGGTGCATGTACATTGAACACGCAAATTTTTGTAGTAGAGCTTAGACTTTCTCTTTTTCGTAGGGCAGGGCTCGAGTTTTGTAATTATCGAGTGAGACAAGTCATAGGGACAATTGGTGTCAGAAAGACATGGTTAAAAAGACTGTAAAGTGTTCAGGATGTGGTGCGGGCTTGAAAGTGGACCCAAGTGTAGAAGCGGATGGAGAAGAGGCTGACGTGAAGTGTAGGCAATGTGAGGTCGAGGAAAAAATGGAGAAAATGATGGTTGTCCAGAGTGAACTGCTGATGAGAATCATCGAGCTCGAGACTGCGTTCGCGACAGAGCAAGAGAAAACGAGGGCAATGGGAGAAAGGCTGAAGTCCGCCGAGGAAGCACTAGCCAAGGTGAACAGAGGAGCGGCCTACAGAGAGAACAGTAGGGAACCGGCAACCAGAACGGCGGAGAGGAAAGAGCAAGCAAGTTTGGAAAAAACAGGTTCAGCCAGTTCAATTGTCGCAAGGCCCAGCTTCATCGCAAAGCCCAGCTTCAGCGAAGTGGTGGTGGGGCTGGGAGGGGACAAAGCAGCCGGCGTCACAGGTGCAAGTAACCCCCAGGTGCAGGACGCTCCAGCTGAAGAGTCACAGCATGTGATAATCGCCGGGGACTCGAATTTAAATCAATGCACAGAAGCCATCAAAGAGAGGGTAAAGATGACTTAAATGAAGATACAGCAGGACTAGCAACCACACTGGCGAAAGGCGTCGATGACATGCGCACCACTTCTCCTCAGGTACAGGTAGTGATATGCACAATACCAGAGGTACCGGTGCGTGATAGCAACCTGCAAAGAGCGGTTGTCAATGCAAACCAAGAGATATGGCAGATGAATCGAGAGAAAGGCTTTGAGGTGGTAGAAATAAACAGAGAGGTGCATAGGTGGCGTGGATTTCGAGACAGAAATCATTTCGATGGGCGGCTAGGTCATGAAGTGGGTTGGCGACTTGCAGGACGCGCAGTAGCTTTTTTGGGGGGCAAGTGGGCCCTTCGGGGTGCAGGATAGCTAGTAACGAGGAAAACAACCAGGGAGACTCTTTGACAGGTGGTATGGACAGATACGATTCCAAAGTGGCACCAGTATCTAAGATAGGTAGAGTCCGGGGCAGAAATAGACGTAGCCACGAGCGCCGATCCCAATTCAGACATAGGGTATATAACATGCAGGTAGGTAGGAACAGGCTGAAGTGGGAAGAGATAGAAGAACAGCTAAGGGAGGAGAGGCCGATGGTATACGGTTTTGTAGAAACACATCTCGGGGACATGGAACAACCTCCTAACAATCCGGACTACACGTGGGAATATTGTAATAGAACAGAAGGCAGCAGAAAAGGGGGTGGTATTGGGGCATTCAATCATAAAAGTACAGACCGGCAAAGGGTCAACCAGGAGTGCAAGGAACATTTATGGCTAAAAGGGAAAGTGGCAGGACAAATGACACTCCTTGGTTTCGTGTACTTGTGGACGGGAGCAAAGGCCAGAGAGGAAAACCAGGCAATGGTAGAGTGTATTTTAAATGACATTGAGGAGTTAAGAGGAGAGTGCAAGATAATTATACTAGGAGATATGAATGCGCACATAGAAGATATAGATGGGTATACCGACCCGACAGGCAAAATGATCTTGGATATGTGTGAAAGGCTTGATTTGATCATTTGCAACAGTACAGAGAAGTGTGAAGGGCGAATAACATGGGAGGTAAGAAGGCTGCAGTCGACGATAGATTACGCACAGATGTCACATAGGATGTATGATAAGCTCAGAGGAATGCACATAGATGAAGGTGGCTCCAGAAGTCTGGGTAGTGATCACAAACGTATCAAGCTAAGTTTCGGAAGAGCAGTGAAAGTGGGAAGGAGACAAGATGAGCAACTACAGGAAAATTTTTATTCAGAAAGGCAAATTGAAATAGCCACTAAACAAATTGAGAAAGTAATCACTGAGGATAATAAAACAGTGTGGACATACACGAATCTAATTAGACTGTTTGAGCTAGAGCTTGCTAAGGCACGTGACAAGTCACCCGGGAAAAGAAGACACAAACCCAAAAGTTGGTGGGATGAGGAAGTTAAAAGAGCCATAGCAAAACGTCAGGAAGCCTCTAGGGAACACAGACATGCTAAGCAGCGGGGTGAACCGACAGATGATGTTGAAAGAAAATGGGAAATCTTTCTAAGCTGTAGAAGGGATGCATCCCTTCTGATCAATGAAAAGATTAGAAGAAAGGGAGCCCAGTGGCTGGCAGAAGTACATAAAAAAGATAGAAACCCAGCGGCGAAATTTCGGAACCACCTAAACTCCCTAAGAAATGAGACGAGCCTAGAGCTAATCAGTTAATCAGGTTTATAACTTCAGCTCAAGGTGCTATGCTAGAAGGGGCAAGGCTATTGAATATATAAGAACAAGGGTGACAGAAAAATTTCAACAAAGAAGTGCTTTATGCACCACAACAGACAAAGATGAATTAGGTGGTGCAATGGCTCCATTTTCACAACGAGAGTGGGAAAGGGCTGAGAAAAGGGTTCCTAGTAGTACATAAACAGGCCCAGATGGCATTCCAATTATGCTGATAAAGACATTAGGTCCAAAGTCTAAGCAGGCTTTGAGAGAGGCAGTGAGCAAAATAATAATCGATGATATAGTACCCGATAGATGGAAACTTAGCAAGATGAGCATGATCTCTAAAGGAAAGGGGGACAAAGCTGACATAAACAACTACAGTCCTATAACAGTGACATCAGTGGTCTACAGGCTGGCGATGCAGATTATGAAGGAAAGCCTGCAGGCATGGATAGAGGATGAGGGGGTGCTGGGGGAACTGCAGAATGGGTTTCGGAAACACAGGAGGTTGGAAGACAATCTGTTCTCACTGACGCAGTACATCGAAATAGCAGAAAGGGAACACAGGCCCCTGTGGCTAGCGTTTTTGGATATCATCAAGGAAGCGTACGATAGCGTGGTTCAAGAGGAATTGTGGGGAATACTGAACACACTTGGCGTAGTAGATGTAGTCACTAATCCTTTAAAGGTTATCTATAAAGGTAACAAGGTAGTTACAAAGTGGGAAAAACGGGTATCCAAGCCTGCAGAGGTAAAACGGGTGCTTAGGTAGGGGCCGACCGATTCCGTGCCGACCGGTTGTGCGCCCGCGCGCTTGCGATCTTCGGCGTCAGCGTAGCTCTGGCCGACTGGGCTCGCCCTACGTCACCTCCTGCCGCCGCCGACCTTCGACGACGACAGTGTAGCTCTGACTTATTGGACTTGCTCTACGCCATCTACAGACGCCGACAAGAGCTCTCGCAAGTGTGCCCCGTCCTCGGACTCCAGTGACCGTGCTTCCATCTTTCCTGTCTCTCCTATCCCTTCAGTTTGTTGTTGCTTCTTCTTCCTCTTTTCTACTCCTTTACTTCAACCCTTTTTTATCCCTCCTCACCCCACCCCTTGTGAGCTACTGTGGCGGTGTCGCTCATCGAAGCAGACAATAACGGGGCTCACTTTTCTCTTCCTTTCTCTTTCTTGAGAATCACTCAGCAACGCCCCATTTACATTCCCCATTCCTACTTTTCTACCAAAGATGGCGCTACCGGATGGATAGATGGATGGATATGGCTATACCATTTAGATCAGGCGGTGCCTAGCGCCACCAAGCCGTAATTCTTAATGAACCAAAAACTAGATTTATTTTTTTCCTTTTAAAAAGTGAGTTTGAGGATTCGTACTTTGCAGTGAAGGGTTTAATTTTCACTCGTGCCTTGACTTTAGCCACCAATCAGATAACCTCCTTCTAGTTAAGTCTACCCGCTTAAAGTCTATTTTGCCCTCCCGGTCCCTAAACCCCAGTGCTTTGAAAAACTCTGCGCCATCATCCTGAACTACAAGGTGA